AATTCAAAATGATAAAATAAACTATATTATTTAGCCCCTCGTTAAACTCATAAAAATCTATCAGATAACAAGCAGTTAAAAAATTTGTGGTGGGAATCGGAGTTCAATATAATAATATATATACTTTTTTCAATTTAAATAAATGTACAAATTAATTTGAACAGTAATTCCATGGTACAACATATAGAGCACTTTACGCTTGAATTTAAAATTCTATAAGCCACAATTAGATTTTAGCAAAATGTGCAGTGAAATTGAGGTGACTCTGAGAAAATCAGAAAATCTCATGGGCATCTCCTTTTCCACCCTTCCACACCGTTGATTTGTTCCTTTATTCCTTTTGAATATTTCTGACACGTTTTTGGGACCGATCTATTTGAAAAATTTCCAGTTATCCTTTGATTTACATAGAATTTAATACACAGGCAGCTTTGGGCCTTAATTAAAATGGGAAAAGAAGCGTTTCTTGCGATCTTCTCAAAACTTAGTATTCTCGATTCGAGTTGCTTGATATCTGGAGCTTAGAAAACTCCTTACTCAGGGTATTATGTATGTAGAAAACATTTAATTTTGTACTTTTTAACATCATAGTTTAATAAATATTGGATGAGTGCATAAGTTCGTGCCCGATTTCAAGTGCAAACTAAAATTGAAATTTTTTGAAGAAAGCGCTTTTATTAATCAATTATGTATTCGCCATCATGTTCGGCAATCCACTCCCAACGTTCAACCAATTTACGGATGCCTGATTCATAGAAATCGCGCGGTTTCTCGTTGAAAAAGGTGTCAAGGTGGTTTTTGACGTCTTCCACATTTTTAAATTTTTTTCCATTCAAATTGTTCTGCAGCGATCGAAACAAATGATAATCAGAAGGTGCAATGTCGGGTGAATATGGGGGATGCGGCATGATTTCCCAATTCATCTCCTTCAGTTTGGCCAGGGTCGGTTTTGCAACATGTGGCCTGGCGTTGTCATGATGGAAAAGAACTCCTTTGCGATTGGCCAAAATCGGACGTTTTTCATCAATTGCTTTCTTCAATTCGACCAATTGCTGACAATACTTGTTGGCAGTGATCGTTTCTCCAGCTGGCAAGAGCTCAAAATAGATCACGCCTCGGATATCCCACCAAATGCACAGCAGTACCTTCATCGGATGCAATCCACCTTTCGACATCGGTTCCGCCCCTTCGTGTGCCTGTTTCCATGTTCTTTTGCGTTGAACATTGTTGTACAGGATCCATTTTTCATCACCAGTCACGAGCCGATCCAAAAAAGGTTCGTTTTTGATCCGTCGAAGCAAAGAAATTGCTGTTGACATACGGTCCACTTTGTTTTTTTCACTCAACTGATGTGGCACCCATGTATCGAGCTTCAAAGTGTACCCAACCTTTTTTAAACGACGAAACGCAGTTGATTTGTTGACGTTCAATTCACTGGCAACCTCTTCCGTCGAAATACGTGAGTTATTCGCAACTAAAGTCCTTAGAACATCGTCATCAAGCTCAGAAGGCCGTCCACTGCGAGGTTGATCTTCGAGGTTAAAATCTCCAGAACGAAATTTCGCGAACCATTTCTTTACTGTGCGGAGTGCTGGAGCACGGTCCAAATAAACTTCGCGAATATCTTTAGTTGCAGCGCCTACTGTTTTTCCTTTGCGGAATTCGTATAACATAATATGACGCATATGATCTTTTTCGTTGTCCATCTTACATGCGTCTTTTCACTAAGCAATTCAAATCAAAATGAAGTTATTTTATGCTTGGTTTACAGTTCGGACTGTCACCTTTCCAACAATATATAATATGTATATACAATATTTCTTTCACGAGCGCCACTCTCAAACGATTCGAACGGCATCCAGCGGAATCGGGCACGAACTTATGCACTCATCTAATAGTTTAATTTCTATGTAAAAAAAGTTGCGGGGAAACTCTATACATACATAAGTATAACCTGAAGGTATCACATGTCGATCACTTTCGCCTAAAAGATCCAAGTTTCGAGTAGGCTTTCGAAATATTAGGAATTATGTGCTCATTAAAAGAAATTTTACACAAAATTGTTATGCCAATAAGCATGGGAATTGCTTAGTGATATTGGTAGTCACTTCCATATGACTATGTCAACCACGCAGAACAGTATTTATAGGGAATTTTAGGTTTTTTTCATCAAATTTTCTCCTCTCTATATATTCTAAAGACAATGCTACTTTCAGCGATCCTGATCTGCCAGGCATCCAACAACTGAACATTTTGCTAAAAATTAGTGCCAGAGTCAAATTTTTCAAAAAATCTTCAGTTTATGAAAGATTTATGTAACATAGCCTTCACTTAGTGTACTGCACGTTTTGATAATGAAATGTCGGAAATCCTTTTCAAAAGACATTAAAAACGCTAAAAAGAAGTTGATATTTCTACATATATGACCACAGAAAGCTTTTTACCTAGAAGTCCAGTTTTATATATATATTTTTTTATTGGAAATGTTGTAAAATTTAAACCTCAAATTAATTTTAAGGACTTATTAATTGGGATTAAATAAAATGTTTAACCGCTTCCGGACTGCTGATGGTTTTTTACGTGTTTTCGTGTTCGAAATACACACGTAGGGGTGACATTCCCTGATGAGAGGTTACTGCTATTAGAAAATTCAACTTTAATTTTTATTTAAATTAATTCTCCATAACTTTTTGGAGCTGGTGGCACCGAGTTTTGAGCCCGAGCCTTCCGAATTTCAGTACTCAATGCTAACCACACGGCTACCGCGGCCGCTCAACAACCCATGGTTTAATTTTATTTAAGAATAACACCAAAAATAAATATGTTATAAAAAAAAATTTATTTTTTATAGGAAATATTTAAAATTTTATCAGAAAAGATACCGGTTACGGGCCCGCCGAGAAAGTCAAGTAGGTAGACAATAAGATGTAAAGATATGCTTAGTACCAACTCTTGAATGAAAGCTTGACTGTTAGGAAATTGAATAGAGAACTGAAAGGATTGAAATAAAGTTTCTGAAGATAATTATGTCTTACATGTATTATTATATTATGTGCATGGACCAAACAACCAATATAATATATATTTTTTTTTGTCAACCTTTCCACAAAACTGACACGAAATAAATAAGTTCTCATAAAAATTCATCTTCATTTTGGAAGCATTACCGAACAAAGATTTTGTACCCACGATTTCCTGCAGAAAAAACTACGCTTTAAGGTCAGGTTTCTCTAAAAAAAAATTTTTGCTGTTAATTTGCTAGAAAATACACTTAGAATATATATATATATAGAATTAGTCCCGAAGCTCTGCAACAAGAACTGAGTATGGAAGAGTGGAGATCGCCTTTTTCTCGAAATCATGTTACTTACTTAGAGCCTATTCAACTTATATACATTAATTAATTAAAATTAAAAAAAAGTTAGTAGGTTTTTTTTTGAAAATTTTTCGTTGTACTTCCGTCCATAGCTAATGTGATACAGAATAAGAAACCGTTTTGATGTTTGCTTTCAGATGATTTGTTTTACAGTTATCGTGTCACTAACCCACACATAGGTACGTGTTTCAACAGCTATGTGAAAAGCAGCCATTTAAAAAAAAAAACTTAATTATTATTTTTATACGTCTACTTACTTCCAAAAACTTTGATTGCTAAATATTTTTTTTTTAATTAATATAATTTGTTTGAAAAAACTAAACACGTTTTTTGGTGGAATCTGGCCTTAACTACTCTTTTCGCTGTGTGCGTATATTTTTTACAGTTATCGCATATTTTTTAATTTTTTTTATATTTATTAATGTTTTCTTTTCTTAAAAGGGCTTGTATTGTAGTAGCTTTTTTCCAGAGATGGACAAGGTATATTACTGCAAGGAAATGGAAATAATTTTTTAACAACTTAAACTTCCTTTAAAAAGATATAAATATGTACATAAGTTATATCCTGTACACATTCCATTCGACAACATTTCATGTATTTATGTAGGTATATACATTAATTTTTTGGTGCATATCATATATTATGTACATATTCCCATTTTAAACATTTCTAAGGCATTATATTGCATGTTTATCTATCTTAATTATTAGCAATTTATGAGCATAATCACCAACACATTCGCACCCACATAAACACACATTGTTCACAGTAAGTATATAAGCATAAACCCACATATGAGGGCCATAGCTCAGCTTAAGACAAGGCCAGCATATAATTATCACACCACCGTACAGCGTACTCAGGTGCGGAGGAAAGAGAGAAAGTAGAAGGCAAAGGAGCCATCGTCACTACTACTACTACAGTATTTCAAATGCACAAATACAAACTGATTTACCTGCCAGCCATCAACATATCAACCAACATTTTAAACTTCCCTCCCGCTCTAACCTTATCTACACGCATACACAGTGATAAGTGAGCGCGCAATATCACTCACTCAATTCAATGGATAGGTTGGTATGTTGGCCAAAAGCCATTGTGAGCATTAGCATGTACGTATGGATGTGTGTACGCATGTATATATGTATGTACAATACAAAGGGGTTTGGTAGTAAATTGAGTAAAAATGAGATCATTGGATTTGGTGTGAGGAAATAACAATGGGCAGAAGAACCGTAATATATGAACGTTTGTAGGTATATGTATACGTAATTGCATATGTATTTGCAAACAATGATGTAGTAGCGTCATTGTTGCTTTATTTTGTTTTGTCCGGTTTGGATCTCATCGATCGTACAATTGTATGTATGCCTGTGTATAAGTATGGGTAACTTAGTCATCAGCAATAGTCGGCTGTCTGGTCTGGTCTGGTCTGGCCGGTAGATATATAATATGTAAGTACACACATACACATACACATACACATACAAATGTTAACGTCATAATACCTCTTGTTGTCGTTGGTGTTGCTGCCCATTGCTTTTGTTATTATTGCTACAGTAGGTAGTTTGTGGTAGTAGTATCGTCGTAGCCCGTCGCTGCCGTTGTGTGTGTGTGTTTTCAGTTTAGCGAAGAAAAGTTACGGTCGACGTTCTCGTCTACGCTTTGATCAGTCTGATTCAACAGTTTGTGCCGTAAGGAAGTGTGTGCACTACTGAACGGAAGTCACTTGAAAATAGTTAAGTTCACTTAAGATTTATTCAGAAATCTACTAATTTTGCCTACATATAGCTGCAAATCGGTATAAGACGCGTTACCGTAACGTAATACTAACAAATAACATATTGGAGGCAAAGTGACAAAGTTCAAATTAAACAAAAAATTGAATTCCTCTTATTTAAATGGACTATAGAATCATTTAAATTATTTTAACAAAATTACTGATTTTTGTGTTAATCTAAATGACACCAAGAGAAGACTGAAAACAATAAAAGAATATAAAAAGTAAAATTAATTTCTTGTATGCAAATTTAAAAGCTATACAAATTTAAAGGTTTAATAAATAAATACAAAAAGTGTTATTGTCAATAAGAAAGCGTTTACTTTCGCTTGCAAAAAAAAAAAAAAAACCAAAAAAGTGAAAAAATCACTGACCAAAAACAAAGACGGTAGCTAAAGCCGCTTTGCCGTCGTTGTGCAAAAACAAGACAAGAAGCATTGTCGCTCAATACCTTGCGTGGTCGATGAAATTAACACATTCTTGTGAAATTGGCGAACTCAAAAGATTTGTAGCACAAAGCAAAAAACGACAACAAGAAATAAATAAAAAATCAAACCAAAAATTAAAAACTTAATTCACGTACTTATTGCTGTTACCGGCTTTATACGTACAACAACGTGTACTTTCAGTTTAAGTGCCGGCTCATTTAATAAAAAAATTGCCTTAGTCACTTACATACTTGTATCGATCACAATAACACGATATCGGCATACAACAAATTGACTTATTACTAATTGCGGTTACGCAGCCCACCTAACCCATCACCTCACGTGGATAAGCAGTGGAGGATTTATTCGAATTTACTTGGATTAGTATGCGGTATGTATATATATATATTTTAATTTAGATAATTAAATATATTTTATACATACGTATATTTTTTATTGAAGTTATTGGCTTTTTCCCTTGACCTTAGTTGTACACGAGATTATCATTATTTATTTACACTTTTACTGTATGCAGAGCAGTTGACAGTTTATTTTTGGCAATGAGCATAGCATGTACTTTATCAGCTCCTTGAGAGCGCAATTGAAATGTTTGTTGTTATTTTTTGTTCATAATGATAAGCACGTGATAATTGATATGGGCATGACAGCTACTACGATAAATATATGTACACTACATTTAAATCACCTACAAATGTATTGTATCTGTCGATATGTGGTGTTCCCCAGAAATGCCGATTAAAGGCTTAAAATTTGAGAGGTAGAGGAAAAACGGTAGGTGGGAGAGGAGATAAAACAATTATAAATAACGAATTCAGTCGGGTAGGGATTTAAGCACAAGCAATATATAATTATATATATATAATGTGAATGAACTGAGAAGATAAAATGTATTACGTTTAAAATATGTAAAAAAACATTATTAATATAGTTTCCTTTAAGTATGTAAGCCGAAAAGCTTTAAATAAAATATTTCAAACAAAAAAAAAAAATTAGAAAATAATATATAATAATAATATGAAAAAAAAAAAAATTAAACAAAAGATGAAATACATAAAATAATTTGGCAAAAAAAGAGTTAAAAAAGCAAAATAAAATAATATGAATTAAAATAACATTTTATAAATTATTTTAAATAATTTATAATTAAATTTCTATAGTTATTTAATTTACTTAGAATATCTGAAAAATTCTATGAACAAAATAAAGGGATATTTGCTTAAACTAAGAAATATATGTTTTGCACAAAATTTGCATTTTACAAATTCAAGTCAAGCAGCCAGCTACCACTGAGTTGCTTCTCACTTGCTGCAAACAGTGCGATATTGTGATATACATATAGGTTTGGTTATGGATATTTTTCCATCGTAGCGTATTTTTTTTATTATGTATAGACCAAGCGAACACCGCTAAAATGAAAAAAAAAAATTAATTAAGAAACAAAATTAGATTAAATAATAAACTAAACTCAAAGAATGAAGTATATAAAAAAATTAAAAATATATAAAGTATGCAATTTTGCATACAAAAAATTTAATTATTTTAAAGTGGAATGACGAAAAGTAAAAATAAATCAATATCGAATTAAAATAACCTATAAGAAAAAATTTAGAAAATTTAGAAATTTAAGGAAAAGATAATATGAAATCAAATTATAAAAAATTAAACAAAATGAAAGAAATAAATAATTACAATAGGAACTTGTCTACGAAATTATATAAGCTTTACTAAAAGAAATAAAAACTGAAAAGTATCAGATACCACGAAGTTTTAATATAATGTAATGAAATTTTTCCATTTTTATACTTATTATCATTTTCGTACTCCCATGACGATATATATAAAACCAGATCGCCCAAATTCATATCAGTGCTATTATATTGATTTATTTGCTTTCTAGATAGTTATAAAAGTATCTAGAGTTTTTTAGTAATTATTTCAGTTGTTTTTTTTTTTAATAGGAACACATGTGTTTGGCAAAATTAAACTTTAGGTTTTTTTTATTTAAAAAATTTTAAAAATGTTTATTATGAGATAGATTTTTAAAGGAAACGTAATATAAAAATATCAAAAAGGACCTCTTGATATTTTCTTTAATAGCAAATAGTATTCTCGAGCCATACATATGTTTTTTATTTTTTATAAATTTTGGAAATTAAAAAAAAAAAAATTAAAACTGAATAATATTTATTGTTGGCATTTCAAAAAAATTCATAACTCATATGCATACATATATAATGAAAATATTTCTGTGGAAATAATTTCAATAAGTTGTTGTAAAATTAATTATCATAAATTGATAGGCAGAGTTTAGTTCAGTCTCACCGAATATTTGATATTCGTCTAAACTATATTCGCTAATGTACAAATATTACCGTAAAAAACTGCAGAATTTTCTCAATCGGTTTATAATCCGAATATAATAAATAAAAATAAATATATGTTACTCCAACCCTTATTTGTACAGCTCAGATGCCATTAATAAATAATAAATTAGAATTCTTAAGTATTTAAATTTGCCTTAAAATATTTTTAAGTTATACATATATATATATATAAATTATTAGTAACTAATTTTAAATAAACATTATTCTCCAAAAAGAATTCACAATTATTATCAATTAATAAATAAATATTTTTCCCTTTTCTTCTTTGGCAATACAGGTGGTTGCAAATCATTTGCAACCGATAACTCCATCAAAACGGCGCACCAAAGCGAATTTACACAAACCAAAACGCACCCACGCTTGCAAGTTAGTAGCGTGCGGTCAAACATAAATTCATTAAAAGTTGCAACAACAACAACAACAACGACAACAATACCACAAATATACACATTCCAAATAATTAGACGAAGCAGAAGAGACTATCGCATTCTCACACATAAACTGATTTATATAATGACGGCGTTTACAATATTTACAAGCGTCATAGGAGCGCCACCCACCGCCACCAGTGCAAGCGCGAGCAATAGTAGCAGTACAATTACACCCACCCACACAGTAACACAAACAGTGACAGCGACAAGAAAAGCCACCCCCACCAACAGCATAAAGCAGAAGATAGGAGGTGTGTCATTTACACAAAATACAATAGATGTGAATAGCGGCGCAGTGTATACGTGGGTGCAGGCGCCCATTGAGGGTTCGCGTAAGCGTAAGCGGCACAGCAAACGTCATAGTAATTGGAGCAGTGATATGTCAAAGGATTTGCCATGGGTGAATCCGTGCGGTGGCTTCTATGTGCCGTCGGCGGCGCACGGTGGTAGCGCAATGCGGCGGAAAAATCCAAGACAGGTAGGTTTGAGAGGAGGGGAGAAATAGTTAATAAGAATTCGCTTTACTTTAATTTTTAATTTTTTTAATTTATTAATGTTTAATTAATTTTTTCTTCTCACTCTCATCTATTCACAGATTTTCAATATGCTCAAAAAGTCAGCTGGAAATGAGTATAAAATGTTGGTGGCCGGTCATCAAGATATTGATATAAGCAATATACATATGTGGTCGTTACATAATAAGACATATAAATTTTTGCCGAAATTAAAAGTCAACTCAACGGTAAGTTTGAAAAGCTAAATCTCAATAATATTTGTTGCATATACGTATGTATAAATATATATAAATTAATATATATCCAATTGGGTGTCTGTTGAGTGGAAAAAAATTATTTAGCATCGTAAAATTGTTCTCAACATGCATACATTATATATTTACATATTTGTTGACCGCACAAATTGCTCAGTTTGGTATTTCCGTTGTTATGTTTCTAAACTAAACGGAAATATCTGCGTGAAAAACCAACTAAAAAAAAAATAAAAATACATAAAAAAATTAAATGAACAATGGAAAACTGCATGTCATCTGACAACTCATTATATCGTTAGCAACTAGGTACATTGAAGATGTTGGCAAACAGAATGATGGATTTTTTTTCACAAAATTTGAGAAACCAAATTCTTAATAAAAAAGCTTTAACTAAATAGAATCAATGCAAGCGTATCAATAAAAAACTACAGAAAACAGATTTTTTAGTTTCAAGAATTTTGCTGGTTTTTTAATGCCTTGGAAGCTCTTCCAATTTAGATTTGAAAAATTGCTTCTATATTTTATTTCTAACAGCTTAGAGGCAATGAAAACAAATAATTAATTTTTCATCAGCAAATTTTCGTAAGATTATTAATTAATATCGATTTTTCTGTTAAATTTTAATTTCGGAAATTTTAATTTTTCTATCATCTACGTTTTGAATTCAGAATGGAGTTAATATCTAGGCTGCCAAGCACAATTTTGCTTAATTTTGGTAAAATCTTAGGTAGATAATTAAATTTTTGACAAAAAGTTAACAACATGGAAAGACTCGATAAATCAAGTTGAATCCAAATCAGCTGATTTCAACTCAATTCGCTTTATTCAAACGCTCTAACGCTTCTAAATATGTAGAAAAAATATGTATGATCTGCCGGAGTAGGGTATACTATTTTTTTCTGATTAAAGCTTTCATAAAGCTGCAAAAGGTTCTTCGAGCTGGAAATTGCGCTGCCAAAGTTTTAACTTATTTCATTAATTCATTTTAGAAAAAAGATTTCATGAGATGCGAGACTAGAAGATATTTTTTAAGCTTTAAAATCATTATCAATAACTTAAAATAAAAGCAGCAATTGAAAAGCTTTGCGAAAACACAAAAGCACTGAAAGCTGTTGTTATTTTCAAATGGTATTTCCAATATTTAATTAATCATTAAAGCCAGCCAAAAATTTGTCTCAGTGTTAAGTCAATAGGTATGTAAGAATGTCATTCCTACAGCTGGAGATGCGAAAACGAAGTCTCTTGTTTGATTTTGCGCTACTTTGCAAAACAAAAGGCAAATGTATTTAGTCCAACTATTACGATATGGTTCCACTTCGTTGACGAAGATCTAATGTCTTGTTTGTACAACACAAACCAAATTACATACAATAATAGATAATAGTCATGCTATGGCATGTGGGAGCAAAGGTATTTCTAATAGTCACATTAGTAATAAAAGCATTAAAATTATGAATCACTCAAAAGGCGCGTATTTAATATCGTTAATGACCATTACATATGTACTATGTAACTATGAACGGTTGGATTTTACCAAGTGTTAGAAATGAAGTGTTAGAAATGAAGCGGCTGACAAATAAAATTAAATTTTTAAATCACTAATAATTAATTTGAGCAAAAATAATTAGCAAAAATGCTGATATGGTTTTGCCCTCTTAATATATCATATTTGTGCAATATAAATATTTGTATTATAGTAGCCAACATAATCTATTAAATGTTTAAAAATCAACGTTATTATTTAATCCGTGCTTAGTTTGTAAGTCAACATAGAAAAAAGTCTATAGTTAATATAATAACATCAACTAGTAATTTTCATTCATTCATTTCACCCATTCATCGCTTGAGAATTTTATCTTATCGTAAACGCGCCCTTTGTGTGCCCGCGCACACGCTGCCGCTCGGACTAAAATAAAAAGTTCCGTCACAGTTTGATCGCACAGCGCACAGCAGGCAGGTGGGCAAGTGTTGCGTGTGATCGATGCCAAGTGGACGCTTCCAATAACATATGACTAGTGTAATCATATAATATATATGTACAAGCATATATGAAAATTGGTTAGGGTGATCTAAAGAGAGATTTATTTTCTCACTCGCCATAGCAGTGTTAATTGGTTAAAAAAATTAACCCCTTTTTTGGAGGTTTTTGACTTAAATATTGATTTTTAATATTTTAATAAAAATTTATTAATTTTTTGCGTTAATATGTTGTACGTCGGCATATGTTTAATTCGTTTTAAGAGTATTTAGAAGGCGAAAATTTCATATAATGCTTGAAAAAAATTGTTTGAAAATGAATAAAATATTCGAAGAAAATAATATTGTAAAAAAATCTATGCTAAATACGGCTTTATTCAAACTTTTAAGTCTCAGTAAATATTGGTAATTATTAAAAAAAATTCTATCATTTTATGGCAAACATATGAAGGAAAACTTACTGTCTGACATTAATTTCGAGACTTCAAATTTTCATTTTTTATACCTTAAAATTTTTTTTGGAAAAAGTTTCCGTTCACCCTATTGGTGCTTAGTGGGGACATACATATATAAATAGGTAAAATCATTGCTCATACAAAAGAAAAAATAGAAATTATGACATCACAAATTTCCATTTGCTTTAACAATTTATTAATTGTATCGAAAGCGGGGAAAGAGCACAAGAGACAAAGCAGACGCATACATACACGTACTCTTACTGGAAATTTTAGGCAAATGTCTAATGGGAAAGCCAGTGCTTGGAGCCAAAACCGTATATAATTGCTTGTTAGTGTTTTTATTCGTGTTTTGATTTGATTTTTTTTTCTGCTCATGATTCATGTCATGTCTGGCGTATTTTTTTTCAATATCTGCCACTGTGGCGAACTTTTAAAAGTCTCTACATGCATGTATTCGTCTTTTTTGTGTGAGTGTGTGCAAACAAGCAAATCAATGACTTAAGCGAATTGTTAAATAAGAAAGTGGGAGAAAAAAAAACAAAACTACATGGAATGTAACAAAGATCAGCAAAGCTTAGCAGAAAGTGTATAGGGAAAATGAAAAGAAATAAAATTTAATTTCTTTTTTTTTGAAATTATTTAAAATATAATTTTTTTTCTCAACACAAAATTTGATGTTTTTTTATAAATTTAAAAAATATTTAAAAAACTAAAAATATTGAATTTAGTAAAAAATAACATTTAGTCGAGAGCTTAGTTGGTAATTTTTTCTAATTGAAATCGTAAAGATATAACATTTTGAAGCTTCATGATATTTTAGCTTTCATTAATGAATACATAAATATTTGGAATAAATAAAATTCTAATATATATTTTTTTTAATTCTAATAGTGCATAGTATTTCAAAAAATATGATAATTTTAAGCCACAAAGTTGTTTTTAACTTATAAAATCATACTCTTGTTTTTGGCTACCTATGATTTAGAGATCCAAAGTGTTCTAATGAAAGCTAGAAAGCCTTTTTGGTCATTTATAAAGTTTTTTAATGTTTGAAGTAAATGTAGACACTTGCGAATTTCGAATTTTGGGCTAAGCTAATATATTGGAAAATTAAAACTTTTTATAATCATTGAATGCTTTATAAATTTAAATTTTTTTTAAGAAAATTTTCCATACTTTTCTCAAATTATTCAAAATGAAATCTTTAATCATTTTTTTCAAATTAATTTTTGTCTATTTTTGCTATAATATTTTCAAAATGAAATTTTTAGAGCCTTCCATATCCCAAAAAATACATAATTGAGATGTTTGGAAAATTTTTTGCTTTAAAAAACCATATCGGTTAAACCATTTCATCAAACACGAGTACCAATCACCTTGTATAAGTCAGGTGCTACAAACCACACATTTAGTGATAACGTTAAAGTAAGGTAAAGTAGAGGCATTAAATAACAATCATTTTTTGTACGTGAAAATTTCATATAGGCATATATTTTGAAAATATATATTATATGCATGCATATATGACATGATAATAAATCAAACGCAAATCTAAAACTTCTACTGATTTTGTCAGCTACAATAAATACAATACAATCATAAATAGATACATATATACATACAAACATATACAAATGTATATAAGATTGCGTGTTGCTTGTCTTCAACAAGATATCAACAAATTATCAACGTCACGTATGACATTAAGGCAATCAGCAAACCAAATAAAACCTAAACATGCGAAAACTCGTACAGAAACATTCATACTTTTTGGCACATACAAGTATGTGTGCTTATGCATCGAAAAAGAGTGTGAATGAGCGCGCGATTTTAATTATCATTTGACAGCAGAATATAATTTTTTCGCCGTTTTATACGTTGCCGTTGTTGTTGTAGCTCAAATGCTAATGAACGATTAACTGAACAGACTGACCTATAAATAAATTAACATATTTATATACATATGTACGTACATACATATTGTATATTCGAATTTATAAGTAAACTTATGGATATGTGAAAATGTACGAATAACTGTGACTGGGAACTTAAGTGCCCCTATAGCGGTTAATATGTTATATTCAAGAGAAGTTCGGCGATTACGCTGCATATCACAGAGAGCGTACGTTCGTGGATGCCGCTGAGTAACTCATACGCTCTGTTGTGCTTCGGGTAGGCGCGATATCAGCTGTTTATATTCCTTACTCACTCATTGTGCGAGTATACGTATGTTTGAGCGTGTATTTGTGTGTATTTGCTTGTAATTTCGATCTTTATGAATGGGGTAGGTCAGGTTTGATTTTTGCCCATATACAGTCGTGCATACATATATATTGACACATAAAACAAAATTTTTGTTTACTTGCTGTTAATTTTCGCGACTGGATTTTGACTAAACAATTATGAAGTTGTGTTTGTATTGAGTACGTATGACTTGCAATATTAATACATTTTTTATTGCTCATTAAATTGTTGTTATTTGGTGGCCGCGGTTGCCGAATGTTTAGCATTGCCAACTGCCATTCGGAGGGCTAGGGTTCAAACTCTGGTGTCATCCTAACATCGAAAAACTTATAGAAAATTACTTTATTTAAAAAAATTTAGTTAAATTTTCTAATTACGGTCGCCCGTCGGCAGGGAATGTACACTCTTTTAGCAAAAAAAAATATAGATATAAATTATAAATGTAATAAAAATGCATTTGCGATATAGCAATAAATATATACATATGCATATATATCTTCTTTCATAAATTATTTTTAATTTTTAATTAATTTATATCAAATAAAATAATATATTTTTCATTTTCATTCATTGCAGATCGCCCTGAAACGCTGGTACCGCAACATGCAGTCCTTCGTCGGCTCCTTCGCCTATCTGCGGCGCGTTCAACGCGCCTGGGATATGGCTAAACTGCAACACGAGAATAGTACGGCACGTGAGCTGCAACGGTTAGTAACTAGCGCACGAAATATGCTCTGTGAATTGGAGACAGCTATCAATGGCACAATGCCAGCACCTCGAATGCTGCGCGGCAACACTTTACCGCAAGTGACAAGCGCACAAATGAATAAACGTCTGAAGCTCTATACGAAGCGTCGTGTTGAGAGTTATCCGAACGCGGTGCAGGAAGCGAATACGATCGATTTAATGTGGGTAAAATATTACTATTATGAATTTCTACATCAAATGTGGACCGTGCTGCGGCAACAAACGAAACGACGTGGTCAAGTTGCTTTGCTGGTGAATCCAAAGGCCTTCAATGAAGTGGAAAAGCATTTTGGTAGCCTTGCAGCGACTAAGCATGAGCTGAGTAAAAATAAGCAAAGAAAAAGCCAGACAATTGAAGAGGTTGTCAGTAGTAGGAGTAGTAGTAGCAGTAGTAGTCGTAGTAATAGTGATAGTAATAGTAGTAGTGGTAATAGTAGAAAAACAAATAGGCGTAAAAATGCTACTGTTAGTAGCTGGGCAGGCAGCAGACGACGTCAGGCGCTGCGTTTGCCTAAAACGTGAGCTCAACAATTTTTTTTTTTCGTAAAAAATGGTTTCTTTATAAATTTTTAAATTTTATATTTTGGAACAAATTGTCACTTTGAGTCCCAAGAATTTGCGCTTTTTATCCGATATACCAAATTTGCTACTAAATTTTTGGTGTATTTTGGAAGGCGTCCTTTGTATCAACAAACAAAGAAATGAGTTACAAATTTTAAAAATTTCCAGTTTTTCCTAATGCACATTCCAATATTGTTAGTAAGCAAATATATTGAAACACTGCAAGAATTATTTAGTACAACTACAATTTAACTAAAAATAGAACGCTTTGTATTAGAGTAGTTAAAGCAACAAATTCATATTTTTAAGCAACAAACATGCCAGTTACATATTTATATATACATATACATACATACATGCCTGCATACATAACTACTTATTTATTGCATTACATTCCGTCTCATAAAATTAAATTAAAAAATCTCAATGTGACGCGCCACTTGTTTAACGGTCGCACAAGTTCAAGTTCAATGCGAACAGAATAGCAACAACAATAAAAACGATTGTAAAATGCAACAAAAACAAAAAATAAACAACTTTGCATTTTTCGCATTGCAAACGCGCTGATAGCAATTTTCATAAATAGTATGTAGATATATTTCACTCTCAATTTCATTTGAAACTTGTTGTGCACAAGCAACAACAATAACAACTATTATAAAAATACGCAACACACACAAACACCCAATAGTAAGAAAAAACGAAAAACGAATAAAAGCACAAAAAGCTAGTTGTAGTAATTCTAGTCAACACACACACACATACACACATACACGTATATGCATACACATCAAATAGTCTCAATAAAATACCTAGATAACTAAGCACACACCCACCAACAATATTAAGCGCATCTAGACATACAAACATCTATATATGTGTGTATATTCGTACATACAAAGAACATATAAACATTTGAGTGGCGTTTTGGAATAAATATGTATATGAAAGCATTTGTATAAGCTTAAGAAGCTTTTAAAGCACGTGAGCAGAGGCGCGATCAGTATATACATACATACAAGTACATATGTGCATTATAAGAAATGCACGCTAAATGAATGATTGATTTTAATTAATTTAAAAATATTTTTCAGCAAATAACTGACACAAAAAATGCTTGATTGAAAGATAAAAATTGAAAAGAAATATTTATTAAAATAATGAAAGAGCAAGTAATTGCATTTTTTGTTTTTGTGAAATCAAGAATAACATAGAGAAAGCATAAAAAAAATCGCAAAAAAAAGTATTTTTTGTTTATGAAAATATTTGAGAGCAGCAGATATTATATTAAGCCGGTAAAAAATAAATAAAAACAAAATTAAATACTCCATATCAGTTAAAAGCGAATATAGTGCTGAAAATCCAAATTCTTGAATCATCGTGACTACTAAAAAGTGTGCTTGCTCATACATGCTCATATACATAGCGAATTATTTATCTTCATACTCACCATTGACGAGTGAACAGTATCGAATTCAAATCGATAAAGTGCATAATAAAAAAGACTTTAAACAATCATTCTCTCTCTCTCTTACACACACACAAACACACGCACAAACAAATAAACACTCTCCCTTCACATGCTAATTTATTTTCTTAACTCTAAGTATATACAATTAGAATAAAAACTAAACATTATTAAGAGTAAGGCTCAAAAATGATTTGCATTTTCTGCACTCCATTATGATTTCGTATAGTATTTTTATTGATAAGCCAACATATTTATTATTATTGCAATTTGAAGAGCAAAAAAACACGAACAATATAAAAAATTTAAATGTAAATTTAAAAAATTAATATATATTAAGGAAATAAACTTCAATGAGCAAAATGCGTATTTGCATTTGTTTTTGCGCTGTGATATTGTTAAAAGGAAAAAAAATTAATGAACAAAAAGTAAAAAAAAGAATAAAATACAATAGAAGACCCAGAGAACATATGATTTTATGCTGTTGTGCATTTTATGCTTCTAGCTGAAATAGCTTCCCAGAAAGTTATAGTATTAAAGCTTTTTTCTTATTATAAGCGAAAAAATTTAGATTATATCAATTTTTGTACGTGTACTTTTGTCAATAAGTGTATAATTTAATTATAATTAACTATTTTTTAGAGTTTTTACTACTTATGAATATATAAAAAATTATTTAAACGAAAACAGAAGCAAACTTAAAGAAATAAAATTGTTAAATTTTTATAAATTGTGAAAAAAATAATAAAATGTGTTTTCATTTGTATACTTTTGCATTTCAACAAAATTTGAGTTGAGCTATTCGAGTGGCTGAAATCACCATATAGACATGCTAAAAATTGCATGTGTCTGAAAACAGTAGGGGAATTCTCTATCACGATCACATAAGTGACTGTAGGAAACCACTGGAAGGTCTCCCAGCAGCAGCCAATAATAATCTACCACCCCTGGGATACTCCATGTTGTATTTGTTCATTTCCTTAACATCTTGGAGAAATTGTTAAACCTGCTCTTCCCTACTATCCCTTAATTATTTTTTGGTTATTAGTAGCGATGGGAATGAATAATAATAATCGACAACCTGTGTCCAAAGTTTCTGAGCACTTAGTCGTGTATATAAGTATACAAGTATGAATATGAGAAAAATGGAAAAAGCAATTACATAAAACGAAAATCATGTTGCAGAATGAATGTCAGACTGTGGACATCTCCAGTTCGGCTTCAATATGTGCTAGGTTGTTCGAGCAGAAGCCTGATGAGAATAGCTAGTGGTTTCAGTTACAGCTATATATTTTAATGCTGAGTAAAATGTTTAAGAATTAATTAATTCAAACTGTGACACTTCGTGAAGCATGCTGGAATCCTTGCCACCCTTAATGTTTAATGAAAATTAATCTAATTTTTGCTTTCATAATCGGTCAAACGCTGTCTACACCCGTAAAAAAATTACTAATCAAATACAAAAGAAAAAGATCAAAACGAAGCAGAACCCAAGTCTACGTAGCATAGAAAAGATGTTTGACTTTTATTAATATATCTGAAAGTTATACCTTTCATGTTGACCATGAATAGGGACTCTAGGCTACATCAACAACCGTCGTCTAGCTTCACTTCCTTTTTCAAAGTAAATTTCAACTGGTATGATGGGCGCAAGAGATAAAGGGTTAATAATACATAGTACTGCCATTCGGAAGGTCTGGCTTCAAGTGGTTCGAAAAACTTCCGAAATTACAGAAAGCTAAATTTTCTAATTCCGGTTTCTTCTGTACTCGATAGAAAAAGTCAGGCCCAGAAAGTTTTTTGGTGTGATTAACTTTTTCTTAATTATTTGAGCTTACTTAGAGTCCCATGTGCGACAATTTCGCTTACTTACTTGCACATATCCCCCGAATGGAAAATGTGCCTCGTCGCCGAAAAAGTGCCTTCCACTGTTTGCTGTTCAAGCACCCAAACGACGTATGCACGGCATTATGAATGGTCATTTGGCTTGGGTAGTTGTTTGAATTGAACTTTATATGGATGTAAGTGTAAGTCTAAGTGCAAAATATGCCTTAATGTGCTACAAGAAAGTTTCAGCTCCTGAGAATTTCGGGAAACGGAAGTTCTTTCGCTACTTTTTTACTTATAGTAGCGATAATTGAGAATAATGTATTCTATTTTGTTTTTAATTTTACTGGCGGTCGCGGTAGCGGAGTGGTTAGAATCGCGTACTGCCATTCGGAAGACTTAGGTTGAAATGCTGGTACGACGAAACGTCCAAAAAGTTCTAGAAAATTAATTGAAATAAACAATTAAGTTAAATTTTCTAACTGCGCTCGCCCTTCTGCAGGGAATGTCAACCCCTCCAAATATATTTCTGACACGAAATAAAGCACCTCATAAAAAAACCATCAACCTTTTGGAGGTGGCTTAATGTAAACAGAAGGTCACTCCGATTGTTGGGAAAATATCAAGGCGCAAAACCACAAATTGGTGGAGGAGCTCGGCCGAAAACCGCTTAAGCATTTACAAAGCGCCAATTATATATATATAAATCACCTTTCATGCTATAACGGAGTTAAAGTATTCACATTACACCATTTTCTCTATATTTTTTTCTATTTCTATTCTATTCGATATTTTTCAATAAAGTTTAAGGCACGTGAGTAATTTGTATTTAATTAAAAATCTTGACAGAATGAAAACTATTTATTATAAAAATGTTTTAAGTGCTGTTGAACTTTTAGCCACATTACATACCTTTTTTATACACCTACAAGTACTATATATATACAATTAGACTCATATACAAACGGATGAATATTTATTGTGAATTATACAATATTAAAACAATTACTTTTTACAAACATTCTCTATTTATATACATACATATTTCTTTGATTTATATCTCAGGAACAACTTTGTGTGCAGTAGTATTGTGAAATTCACGTGTTCGTTGTTTACTTGCTGTTTGTGTTATGAAATGCCATTTATGATTATATTTGAATTGATTCCGCCAGTAGCATATAATCGTACAAGTAGTAACGATCATAAATAAGATTCGCACGACGACTTTAGAGGCGTTGTAATTGAGTAATAATTATGCAGCAATTAAAGCCGTCTAACAAATCGAAGAAAACCGGTAGACTTATTTAAAAAAAAAAAAGCAACAATAGCTAATAAAAATGCAATGCATATATTAGCGATTCTCTCTTTATGAGGGGAATTACAAAGCGCCAATGGTAAGAATAGGGGGAACACCGTATTTGTATTTATTTTTAAAACCCAGATTTGAATTTCAAAGCCACGGCACAGCTTTAGAGGTCAGCAAGAGAAAAATGCTACTACAGCTGCGCTTGGAAAGACATTATGTATTTTAATTCATTACAGAGAGGTAAGGAATTTTGAAATTATGTAACATTTATGAAAATCTTGGCATGTTTCTCAACGGTTATTCACATGCAGGGTCATGTAATTATCATAAATATTTGCAATAATATTTGTGGGCGGTTCGACTACATTTTATGAAAGCAAGGAAGTTTTAATCAATCGACAATTATTTTGAAAAATATTGACAGCAAAAAATTTAACAATTAAAAAAAAACAATAAATAAAAATTAAACCAACCGAGGAACTAGTAAGATTATAACTTTTTTCAACTTTAATAAACAGGCTCTTAAACTAGTGCTAATAAAACCATAATATACCTTTTTATTGTAGAAATCTACTTTAGCACTTGTAATTTACTATTTTCAACTTTTCATATTTTATCTTACTATGGGAGTGCTACTTTTATCTACATAAGTCTAGAAGTAGACATTTCTCTCATATTACGGACCTTCTATTTTTGATCGATTTGTTGGCGTAGGATTGAGATTCGGAAACATTTATAGAGAAATCTATATTTTGTATATAACAG